CACACACACACACACATCTGGCACTTTATCTGCATTTCTGCTTATGTGTGCGAGTTTTGAATCTCTGTTCAGCTGCCTATTCTCTTTGGAGCTTGAAATAGATTCTAACAATCTATCTTTATAAATAATGTCAGTGTGTGAGAGGGCATATGTGTGTGTAGGCCAGCATGTTGGTTAAAATGTGTGTGTGCTTTTTTACGGCTGCTAAGTGACTTAATCATTAATAAACCCCCTATGAAGTATTTGCATAATTTCCAGTCGTAAACTTTAAATGAGGACATGCACAGTGTTTCTAAATTGAAAGTAAAGATGGATGACAGATGGGTGGAAAAGAAAGATCACACATAGCTAAAAAAAAAACTAAATGTCTAAAAATTGCTTCAATTCCTAAATATCTGTCACTGTCTGTCATATGAAGACACGTTGCTTTTAATCTGGATGACGGATAAGTGCAAACTGTGCAAAAGAAAGAGAACTTGAACATCAAGTCATCACACTGCAGTTGATGCTTTGAGAAATTCTGTTCTGAGAAAAAGTGAAAACATATGTCAAGGTGCCAAAGTGCCATTGAAAATAGGTCGTTTCTGCAAATTTTTGGACTACTGTCTGTTCTTTGTATAAGACAGGTTGTGCTGTAAGACGGACTTGTATTTTCCTCCTATTTTTACTATAAATGTACTTTATTGTTGTTATTGCAACATCTTATCTTGGCCAGACCTCCCTCCTGTTTACTCAGTGTGACAATACGTGAGACAAATAACTGTGATAAATAATCATGACCACAATATGAAGCTTAGAAATTGGACTGTGAATATCAAAAAATCCTCCACTGCTGTTATCTCCGTCTCTTTGTGTCATTGTACTTCTTATTGACGCTGCCTTCACTGTCTCATTGTTATCAGGCCCTCCGTCTCTCAGTTCACAATCATTCATGCTACACATCTCTCACTACACTTTAATAGTTTGTGTGTGTTTCTGTCCCCTGTGGTTATAATATATAAACCATCAATCTGTGCCCAGACACATCTATAAAAACAGTCTGTTTGCTGAAAGGAAAACCCAGCGCAGCATGCATTACAGCTTTTGTGCCCCATAATTGGTGCACACACTTACCACTTATCTGTCTCACTAAAATTGCAAAACAGCATTAGAAAGTTTCCCCGTTCAGCATTTTCCGAGCAGTAGTGCTTCCCTCTCTCTTTCTCTCCTCTGTGTCTGTCTCACTCTGGCCTTTTGTTCAGTCTTCAGCCGGACTCATAAATCATACGCGCAGTAGTGTACAGTGGCACAGGTGAGAGCAGGGTGGATTTATCATCACGGCACTGAGATGGGAGGGAGTCTGATGGTGGTGGGTGAAGCCTGGAGCTTACTGAAAGACCGGAGAACATGGAGGTTTAGAAACGACATCAGGAACATCAATTTATTTGTGGATGCTTGGAGAAAAGAGAGCAGGAGAAAGATGGTTAGATCAACAGAGACACACACATTCGCACACGGATACTGAGACAGATGGCCTTTAGGAGAATCAAAAGAATGTCTTGTTGAAGTTCAAGTCATGTTTGATTACATGTCAGCGCAGATACAATCCAGAGATACAATCAGCTGAGCTTTGCTGGGGTTTTTCACAAGGGATTACCTTTTGTAGTTTTCAATTAGAAACTAAATTTTTATAAATGTCCAGCACCGAGCAGAGAATTGAGGTCAGTCCCTCAAGGATTGTGGCTTATGGGGTCTAGGTCACAGCATTAAAACATAGTTCAGTCATTTGCAATCTCTCAAAGGTTTTAGGATTGCTGTATAGTTGTACCAAGTTCAAAGATTACACTATCCACTTGACCTGGCTGCACTAAATCTGGCACATGTGTAGGCCTAATACTCTCAGTGTATTCTTTGGCTTTGATTTCACTCAGTATCCATTCTGAAAGAAAAGGCATTGACCTGAGGTTATGTAGGTTGTACTTTGTGCAACAGTGGATGTAAATTACAAAAGCTTTTGAAAATGAGTCACAGTAAATGGGGAGGCTTGCCAGCGATGAGTAAGACAAAGTGAGACAGACAGAGCATAAGAGAGAGAATAAAAGGATGACATATACAAACAATAAAGAGGAAAAAACAGAAAGAGCTCTGAGAGACACAGCAAGAGAATCAATAAACACAAAAGACACTTCTGAGCAGGGGGTAGAGTGTAGCCAGCTACTCAGCCAGCAAGCCAGTCAGTAAGTGGGTCCACTACAGGGGGCTTATGTTGATATTGGGGTTAGACAGAAGCGCAGTGTTGTGTAATATGCTCAAGTTAATGCGCTGTAATAAATGGGCAAATCCCCCGAAAGCCTGTCCATTATGACAGAAACACAAGGCATTTTGACAGGCCTGGCGGTCTCTTTGTTTGAGTTGGAGGCTGGCAGGAAGCTCACAGCGAGTCTCCATCAGCCCCTGGGAGACACTGTGGACAGGACAGGACAGTCAGAGACATGTGCCCTGGCTCCTCTCCCAAGGGGGCAGGAGGTCAATTTGGTGGGAGTGAGAGGAGAAGTGGTGTTTTGGAGAATCTAATGTGCACAAGCAGTCGCTGACCATGTGTACAATCTATAGAGGCTTACACTAGCGCTGGATGCTATGACCAAAAATGTGTATCATTTTGGCAAAGTGTATGCAAACAATGTAAACAATTTTTATTGTGAAAACTGCAATGTGGTAAAATGGAACTAAACTAAAGTTTAATATAACTTTAACATAACTTTTCTTAACAAAATAAAAAAATTTAAGTAGCCGATAAACACAATAAACTGACATGAAATACTCAACTTTCAAGTATTCAAAGAGGTATTTCTCTAATGTTTATTGCACAAGAAACAAATAAGTTACAATGGTTGTTTCAGCTATGCAACAGTATGGCGGTATATGAAAAATTCATATTATACCGGAAACGGACCCATCACTAGCTTACAGAGGAACATCAGGTCTGTTGTGTAACATGTGAACATATACACACTTGGATGAACACATACAGTTGAGGTCAATTCATTCATTCAGTGATTGCGCTATAAAAATATGCTGTTGAATTTATAATTATATTATTACCATATGTTATAAAAATCTTTTTTTGGCTTTAGAAAATCAACCTGTATTGTTCTGAAGACACGTGTCACTCTGTTCCACTCGGACAAATTGTCCATCCCCATGTTCATCCCTCCATCATACCCAGAACTAGTTTTCAGCAGATGCTTTTTATGCCACTTCTTGCTCTCAGTCACACCCAGCTTCTAACTGCTGCAATTGCACTTTGATTGTACAGTGTCTGGCAAATTGGTCAGCAGATGTAACAGCACTATTATGCATTCATGCAAAATTGCGTTCTCCAAATTGGCAAATAACAAAACAGCTGTGCTTATGTGCAAGTGTATTTTTGTGTGTTTATGTTTATAAGTGTGTTTATGCTTCAAATACTGATCTAACATCTTGATTGTTTTCCTCCCAGCCATGAAATCAGGAGGCACCCAGCTGAAGTTGATCATGACTTTTCAGAACTATGGACAAGCGCTGTTCAAGCCCATGAAGTAAGTAGCAATGCAACAGACTGTGTGATAGCACAGAAACCCTACACCACATCATTTTAATTGTTAGAGTACCCTTGTTAAAACTTCTAACAGCCATTTCTTCACTTTAAACATACTGCTCAGATTTCAGGAAATCTGCATTCCCCCCCTTAAAATAACTAACATCAAAAATCTGTTTGATAGACTTGGTTTGACGCGCCCACTTGTAATGCATATGTTTCAAGAGGTCTACAGGAAATCTAATCTGAATAAGAGCCAAACACTGCCACTGCATCTTTCAGTGTATTCAGATACACAGCTCTCCCCTCTGTGTGATCTTTTTCTGTCTGCTTTTTAATTAACATCAACGGGCTTATGTGTTAATTAAAATGAGCATTGAGCCATAGTGAAGGCGTCTTTGGGGAGGAATATATGCTGGCAAAGGCGCGTTGCACATTAAAAAGAAATGCCCTCCCTCTCTGCTGTCTGAGTTTTGCCCGATGAATTCCCATGCCAACACGGATAAACACTGTCCAGGCCAACTGGGCTGCGATCAGAAGTAATTGCTCAGGAGCCCGGTTTGATTGCTATGAAATGCAGAATGGTTTTCTACATGAAAGCCCCAATGGGGAATATTAGGTTCTGGGAGAGATGGTGACAGAGGGAAGGAGGTAGATATTTTGTGTGTGTTTGCTTGTGGAACTGGTGAGTGATGCTCCTGAAAGCTCAAAGTGTCACATCTTGACAACCTTCACAGGTATAGTTTGTGATGATTCTTTATTTTAGGTGAACGAACCCCATTACCATAGCAGCCAAAGTCACATTAGTGGGAAGATAAGGAGTTCAGGCCTGTGAGTGCAACATCAGCTTCAAAATGAATGTTGAAATGTTGCAACTGAATATCTTTTCACTGATTTATGGAGAGGCTGCAAAGTTTATTCAGAGTTTATTCACCTAGTATTTGGTGTTCATAGCCCTTAGTCAGCTCCTCTTTACCTGAATGCAGTGCAGCTTTATCCCTTGATATACACAAAAATGGCCAAAACAGTTCAGAGTTGCACATGTTTGAATGAGTCATTTTTCTGTGTCCTAACTTGGCATTTAATTTCAAGGTCAATCAGCGGCTGAATTTTACAACATGAGGCATAGCTTACTAAGTTAGCCTCAGAGAATGTGGTGCAAACAATGGCAATCTGAGCATCTATTGTCGCTTTCATACACGCAAACCTTTCAAGTCAACAACAGCACCCAGCAGGCATCAATGGCATAGTCATATCTGACAAGAACTGAGATTACCCTGTGTTGTTTGTGTGTCTGTGTGAGTATTTCTGAGTAGCTATTAGACTGGACTGGGCATTCAGGGGCTGCTTCTAGGCAACTCGGACAATATGTGCGCATGCACTAGTAGTATGTATGAGTGCAATCGTGATGGCCGTTGTGAGTTATGGCCAGGCCATGGGTTGTTGCTCATGTGGTATTAACGGTATCAGGGGAAAGTCATGTATCATCAGCAGTCATGCAGTGTCTTTTGTCTTTGTCAGCTATTGTAAAGGGCTATACAAATAAACTTGATTTGATTTGATTTGATTTTTATACGGACATAGGTTTCAGTCAGGTTTGTCAAGCAGAACACAGATAATGAGTCCTTTAGGATTGAAGGTCATGGCTGCATGACAGAATATATTATATCATTGCAACTCATATCAAAACGGCCTGGCCACATTTTTCAATATACCCTTAGCCGATTGAAAGATTGAAGAGAGTATAGAAGGTAAATGATACATTTATACGTGCTATGAGTTTAATTTTAAAATGTAAATTATGTTAGAAACTTCGAATGGATTGGATATATACCATTCAGTCCAGTAAACTTTAAAATGTAAAAGAAAAGTGCAGATTTCTTACAGTAGATCTAAGTAAAGCCGTCTTCTTTCTCAGTTGCTGTCAGAAACTGTTTTGACAGTAATTGCATGTCAGTTTCTGAATTATATGCTACGTATTCCTGCAGCTCTTTATTTAGCCTGTCATATTTTATTCAAAGTCCTTGCTTTGACTGTCACAGTCATCTCTCTCCAGTGTTTACAGATATTATACAAAAGTCCTCAGAGCCGAAATACAAAAATATCAGAGTTTTCTGAGGGAAACAATGTCGAAAAATAGCCTTTGTTCTACTTTTGTTAAAGCCCATCGTGAGGTTTTGTTCTTTTTATCATGGCATTGATGTGTCCCACTTTTATTTTGGGAACAGTGGTGCATTCTGGGTACAGTAGTTCAGAGTAATGCTGTGTTGCATTGTTTTTCTTCACCTGTCCCATTGTGCAGCATCAAGTGGTGCTTCAAAGAGGCTTTGATGTTTCAGGCCTCCTTTGAGCCGAATGCAAATCTGTACACTGGCATGGGCCAGGAGACTGCACAAGCTGACAGCCTGCCAGACACCTCCACAAGATGTTTTCTCTGTGCAGCTCTGGGAAAAAAGTTTGGAGCTTCGTTTTATCTGTCAGACTAACTCTGTGATTGTGTTTGGTGATTTAAACTGGGTGCCCGCAATGGGGTAGAAGATGCTCGTTTAGTTTTTATAAACTGCAATTTGGGTAAATGTTTTAGGTCACAACGGCTTGTTTTCCCTCCACAAAAAACGATCTCTGATTTTGTGCTAGTCAAATGTTCATGATGCATTCCCTCCCAAGAATTATAATCTGCCTGTCAAGCACGTACAGATATAGTTCCTCACTCTACGGATGTGGTAAATCATTTTCAAGAGGTAAATTCATAAAAAACTACAAGTATCACACACAATTCATAATGCTTTGATGACAAGGATAAAATCTGAATGAATTTCATTGTGTCACCAAGATAAAATCTCTCCTTTAGCCAACAGATATTTATACAAAATAGATTTAATTTGAACTAAAGATGTGGATATCAGATGGCCGTGAGTAAAAGGGTCAAAGGCTGTAGACGAAGAAAGGGAAATGAAATGGTATGTGAAAAGAAAGAGGGCTGGTATTGGAACACAGATGAAAAGCAACGATAGACCAGAGGGTAGGCGGGTGGTTATCACTGCCAACCTGTCAAGGAACTGGGTCTTCCAGCTGGGGCCGGGTTAGAGGCCGAGTGGAGCCCCTTCCATGCCAGTCCTCTGTGTCTGTCTGACTTAAGTCCCTGGTGCCCGTCCTACAGTACCCATCCCCTGCCAAGATCCTGGTTGTTGTGTGTATACAGAATGTTCATGTCATGCTAATTGGATTTGTCAGATGGAGGGTTGAGGGATTGAGAAAGGAGGTGTAAGCCTCAGATATGCAAAGAAAGAATTAATTTCTCCATCGCACGCTGTTTGACAAGCCTGTTCCACCCCCCCACCCCCCTCGCTTTGATTTTGTTGATAGTCTCAAAGCTCAAATTGCATTGCAAGAATAGCAGAAATGACTTTGATCGTCCCTGTTTGTTGTGTACATGCCCCAGTTGTGCCGAGAGCTGTTATATGAACGCACAGGGTTCATTACATGTAAAGACATGTGCTAAAACATATATATAGGGCACACATGCCCATCCTTAAGCACTGTGGGGAATCAGGATGCATCCTTATCTACATGAACCTGATCACTTTTGACAAGCTGAGGCTCTTAGCGCTCGTGAAGCCAGTAGGGTTGGCCGCAGAGCCTCTTAGCTGCAACACCCAAGAGGCTGCTTTATCATCTACAGGCTGTTTCATAACCACAAGTCTACTGTAGGCCCTCATCATATCTATAACCCAGTTGTGTTATGTCTGACATTCCTCTGTGGATCCTCTCTCTGCAAATGGGGGATCATATCAGTTCTGAAGCCAACTAATATCCTCTGGAGATTGCTTCTCCCTAGTCTGGTTATTGATTTGATCATGAAAGATTGATGATTTTATTATTGATTTACATGCATTCATGTAAAGTGCAGCAGGAGGAAACTGCACAAGCTGTTAAAAGTCTTTGATGGCTTGTGGTAAGTTTATGGAGAGTTCACCTCCTGACTACAAATATTTCCTCTATACAATATGCCATTTGATCTTCTTCCGCCATAGAGATTTTAGATCTGTACGCCGAGATCACAATCCTCTAAACTCGTGAACAAGCATCTGTGGACCAAATGACAATAATAACTGCTTTGCAGATTGAGTTGTCCCTGCCGTTTAGTTGCAGTCATGAATAAAAATCCAACAAAAGGATAATGGTTTCACATTATGGAAAAAAGCCAAATCACGTGGACCTTCAGAAGATCGGTCCTGTTCCAAACAAGTCCCATTGTCAAGAACCTGCACATCTCATTTCATGGATAAATACGACATGATTATGTTCACATATGCATATACATATGCATGTAAATGTATGTATATACGGCGTGTGCTGCATGAACACACAAAATCCCTCCTGAATTCATTCTTGTGGCTTAACTGACATCTTTTTCATCATCTTAAAATATTGTTGACATTTTTGTTTTATTTTTCTTCTTCTTTGGTAGTCACTTGTATAACAGTGTTTCCCTGAAGAGCTCCCTCGAGGGCCATAAGAATGCCGCCGACTCTCATAAGTTGAACACACTTTTGAGAGGTGCCGTCTGAGCTCATCTTTGGGTGTGTGCACAGATGAAGCATGTTACTATAGACAGCTGTTCGCACAGCTGCTGCACACACACAGACACTCATATACATAAGCACACAAGCTGCAGAGAAAAGGACACTGTGGGGGTTACAGAGTTTGTGCACCCTCCATCACCCGGGGCTGGTACTGGAGAATCTGCGAGCAGCAAGCCAAGCCGCAGCTGTAGCCGCTCAGTCAGAGCTGTGGGTATATTACACCCGAGGTGATGACTGCAAGCCCACACTCAACTCACACTCACAATAGAAAACTAGCTCATTCACTCCCGACCACTCACCATTTAACACTTCCCTAATGACTTAGACAGCGACAAGTCAAAAAGCCTTGAAGCACTTAAAGAGACTTTAAATGTGATGGAACGTCAAATCTTTTCACACTAACATCCTCCTCCTA